ATGATTAGTCAGCAACTTGGTGTTCTGGAAGGATGCCAGATTGTTTACCTGCAGGACCATTCCTAGGTTTCTGATATTACCGTTTTTCCCAGAGACCACTTCTGTCTTATCCCTGAGGGAGATACTATTGTGCAAGTCCCCAAGAGGTCTGAACTTGGGACCTTCTCAGCAATATGGAGGTCCTAGAAAAGTAATAAAAGTCCATGGTAGTTCCTCAAGTGCAGCTGTGAGGGCCAGCACTGGCCTCCTCAGTAAGAGTCACTGATTACTTCAAGGGGCCATTATGGAGAGCCTTTTTAAACTGGCCTGCCGGTGTGTTCACCCATCTCACTGAAACAGAGGATGTCTCTGAAGGAGAGTGAACCTCTGCCTGGAGAGCGGGGTCTCGAGCTTTAGGGGAAACTCTTGATGTTCAGAAAAGAGACAGGAGAGGGAAAGGATTGGGTCCCTGAGAAAAAGGTTTGACTCAGCCATCAAAGGCAGGCCCCTGTGTCTGAGAAAGCCATTGAGATAGCAGCGTGGGATCCTCTCTCTCTCTTTCTTTCTTTCTTTTTTTTTTTTTTTAAAGAGAGAGTGAGAGGGGGAGAGAGAGAGAGAGAGAGAATTTTTAATATTTATTTATTTTTTTTAGTTCTCGGCGGACACAACATCTTTGTTGGTATGTGGTGCTGCCAGGGAGCGCGCTACCGCTTGAGCCACATCCCCAGCCCTCTTTCTTTCTTTTTCTTTTGAGGTGCTGGAGATTGAACCTAGGGCCTCCCACGTGCTCCCACATGACTCCTCATGCCCTGTGAAGTAAAGACCAACCCCAGGAGCCATTCCTTGTAGGCAGCCTCCAGGCAGTCTCCTGGGTTCCAGCAAAGAAATGAGGGAAGCCTCCAGAATCCGCAGAGCCTCCAGGGCAATGGAGATGGGTGTGTTTGTCACAATCTAGTAGATTTGAAAACCCCCACTGGGCTCATTTTAAGCTTCTCAGCCCTCCTCATTATTATTTTCTTTCCCTGTTTCCTGTTTTCCCTTCCAAATGACTGAGCATTCTTTAAGCTCAGAAAACATCTGAGTTATAATTTATGCATTTTATTAGCAACTATTTACATATAAATGAGTATCAAAAGTGATTAATGTAAACAGGAGGTGCAAACCAAAAGATTAACTTGGTTCAATGGAGGTTGCAAAGGAGATAACTTGAGAAGACCCTTCCTATGCTCTAATGCAGCTTTCCTGCGAGTTCCTTCTGGGCAGTGGGTGAGCAGGAGACAGTGGGGGAAAATAGGGTCCCACACTGGGGGCATTGGGGGGACACTCCACAGAAAAAAATGTGCAGAATATTGGGATATTGGACTTCCTGGACTGGCCCTCTACTGCCTTCTTTTTTCTTTGCAGTTTTCATATTGGTGTCTTTTTACTCTTCTCTCTGGGAGACTTTTTCAGCTTCGTTCTTCCAACCAGAATTGTTTCTCCCATGAGTCTGTTGGGTTTTGCTTGGGGAGCCGGTGTGTGTCCACTCTAACTTGGTAGAACTTCAACTCCAAACTCTGCCCTCCTAGGGCTCCACACGCTGGGATCACTGCTGGGCTCTTGGAGCCTTGGGCTGATGATTCCCAGGGCTCCTCCGTCTCTCTCTATCCCTAGGTAGTTCAGAAATCAGCCAGTAATTTGAGGGGAACTGGCCTGGGCTCCCCTTGTCTGGTTTCTTTCCTTTCCAAGATCTCCTCCCTCAATTTCCAGCCACCAGCACTGGTGACCTTGACCTCTCCCCTCACTCCTCAGCCTGAGCTGTGGAAGTGCTCCAGTGGAAGCCAGTTCAGAGTGGTTCTCACCTACCTCATTTTGTTCTGGGGTCACAGCCTTTCCGATTTATGTCTTGTTTTGGCTGCTCTCCCATACTTCCAAATAGTTGGTTTCATGATTTGTCCAGAGTTTGTTGGCTGCAGGGTTAGCCATGTATAAATCAGCCTACCATTATAGAAAGCAGAACTCCTCAGTTCTTCCATGAGCTTTGTTTGTTTGTTTTAGTTGTAGATGGACACAATACCCTTATTTTATTTATTTATGTGGTGCTGAGGACCGAACCCAGTGCCTCATTCATGCCAGGCAAGCGCTCTACCACTCTTTTCTGAACATCTAGAGTTTCCCCCTAAAGCAGTTTATATAACCTACAGTAAGTTCAGTAAAGCCCTCCTTCTGTGAGCCCCTTGGTTCTCTCATTTGAATAAAATAAAAAAAGCTACTGCTTATGCTTCGTGGGTACTTCTTTGAGGATATTGGTAGTGGTTTTTGTTCTTCTTAGGTTTTCCTCTCCATGTATAGTCCAGTTTGCCTTCTTCCTGGCTCTTTTCTCACAGGGTGGAGTTGGTCTGTATTCTGGGAGCTCTGTAGGAAGAGCGCTGCAGGCACATCATTTAGTGGGCCTGCGTTCACTTCATCTCTCTGCCTCAAGTGGGCTTCATGCCTTGCCTTGTGCCTGAGACCCTTAGTTTTGTCCTCTTCAGAGCATAAACATTCACATTGGAAGGAGGTCGACAGTGGCCCAGGGGTTAGAAGTCAGTAGAGCTCTGGGGCTGTTTCAGCCTCCCTCCCCCACTTCCAGAGCCCTTTGACGACTCTGGGGACAAACTCTGCTCTTGCCTTTCCATGCTCCAAGCCTCAAGTCTGGCTTTCTGGGCGTGCAGTCTGTGTCTTCTGCTTCCAGCCTCCGCAGTCCCAATGGCCGTTTCCTCCACTTCTTAAAGGGAAGGAAGCCACCTCAGAAGCTCGTGGCTAGAAGCCTTATGAGAGGTTGCTCTCTGTGCACGGACTGATTAGAATGCAGAAGCTCCAAGCCCCTGGACTTCAAGTCCTTTAAGTAGCCAAAGCAACAGAGAACATTTTCCAAAAAACAAAATAACTGCTTATTATGAGTCAGGATTAATACATACAAAAGTGGCAAATGTAAATGAATGCATTTGAGAATAAGCAAAAAAGGGAAATGATTTGGGCTACATCTGAGTCTAGGAAAGAAACCTGAGACTCATTAGACCTTTTCCTGGGGCGCTCTGCCAATGGTGCCATGCATGGACCTCTGTATCTGGGGACTGCAGGTGGCTTTTGTTTCTTGCTTCAAGGAAATGAAGTGGGCTGGGGGAACTCTGAGCAGGGCATGGGGAGGTGGTCGCCGTACAAGGGCAGGTGGGAAGCACTCCAGCTGGCATGCAGAGACATGGCACATCTCGACTTAAAACCGTGGCCAGTGTGGAGAAGGCGGGTGTTGAGCTTGGCCGCCAGACTCTGAGCTACTTAGGGGGAGAGGGTTGCTTTTGAAACTGAAACAAGTAAGCCTAGCACAAATTTACCATGGTGGATCAGAAACTTGGGAATTCATTACAAATTGCTCTTCTGGCACATGGTTTACATTCTTTAGGGCTTTAGACAAATGGGTGACAGAGTCTTCCCCCCCACATACCCCCACCTCTTTTCTGCAGAAAAGGGCTGGGGGTGGGGGGCAAACTTCTGAGAGATACTGACGTGCATAGCCTTCAACTTAGACACTGAAAGGGGCAGCGAGTTCTTACTGGGCTGTTATCAGAAAACTGGGCTGGAGGGATGATGTACTGTTTGATATAGCAGGAAAAACTTGACTGAATTAAGAAGATCTGTATTCAGATTCTGATCCCTGGCCTTACTCACCCTGTGTGACCTTGAACAAGTTCCTAACCTCCCAAGGTTCTGGTGAAGTTTAAATAAAGCAGCTATATAACCTACAGTAAGTTCAGTAAAGCAAATGTTTATTGATCCCTAAACTGAATTTATCTGATTCTTTAATATATTTTTACTGAGCCCATATCAAATACCAGGCTGTGTACATGTGCCTTCCCTATTCTAGAAAGGCTCATGAAGTGAAGGCACAGCTCCACTCCATCCTGCAACCCTTCCTCAGCGTGGTACAAGGCTGTGAAGGTGAGCGTCCCTGGGTCCTTTCCTGGCTGCAGAGTGCATGATGGGAGAGATGTTGTCTGAGCAAAAAACCCCCTCCCTCCCAGCCACTTTCCTAGTGACCAAGGAAAAGGTCTCACTGCTGCTGGGTCACATGAGCTGGTGATGACCTAGCTTCCAGGCCAGGTCTGCTCATATATGCATCTCTTTGCAAAGCCCTAGATGCTGAGCTTGGAGAAAGGAGAGTTGAAAGTTTGGGGAGAAGAAGAGGGGCATAGGAACAGGTTCTGACCCTGTGACACTGCCGGGACCGAACTTCACTCCCCTCTACAAAGAATATGTCCACAGGGGATGTGGCTCAGTGGTAGAGTGCTTCTCTGGTGTGTGCAGAGCCCTGGGCTACATCTACACACACACACACACACACACACACACACACACACACACACACACACACGGTGGTCATCACCAGGGAGTGCCCACGTCATGATGATTAATTATGATTACTGAAGATGAGATTGTGCCTCCTCCCTGCCAGCTGTGCTCCCTGTTCTTTTGTCTCAGTCAGGGAAGTTCCCCAAGGTCTGGTGGTAGGCGTGGAAGGGCCTGCTGTGCTGGGCCACCTGGCTGTATTCATTCTGCCCATCCAAAACCCACTTTCCAGATGCTTTAACACATCGAATATCTTCTTAACTTACTAAACTTCCCCTCTGGTTCAGTCTTTTTCGGGGGAGGTATTGGGGATTGAACTCAGGAGCACTCAATCACTGAGCCACATCCCCAGCCCTGTTTTGCATTTTATTTAGAGACAGGTTCTCACTGAGTTGCTTAGCGCCTCGCCATTGCTGAGGCTGGCTTTGAACTTGCAATCTTCCTGTCTCAGCCTCCCAAGCCACTGGGACTACAGGTGTGTACCGCCATGGACGGCCTGTCCAGTCTTAAACTACATTGTGAGCATTTATTTGAGTTGGTGCTGGGCTCCCTTCCCTGAAGGATGTCATGGTGGGAGGGCTGATCCCATGATCCCTCTTGTCTTGCTTCTCCCATGGGCACTTGCTCAACCTTGACCTATTTCTTCCCTTTTCCAGAACTCACTTGTTGTGTGTCAGACTGAGCGATCCCTGTTCCATCCTACAATCCAAGACTCGCTACTGTCCTGCTGATGTTCACAGCTGTGCCTGGGAAGGAGGCAGCTGGAGACCCCCGAGTGTACCCCACGGAGACCCGATGGGGAGGGAAGAAACTGTAGGAGTGCAGGTTCCAAATCTGCACCTCCACCTGTGAACCAGCAGCGCCTGGCTTCCTTCTCAGAGACCTCTCTGTCCCCAGCAGACCTGCCTGAGAACCGAGGGCGGGGGGCAGGAGCCACTCCTCCTCACTTATTGGGCCACACTCCCCAGGAATGGTGGCCTCGGGCGATGGAGGCTGCTGAGAGCTTGGAGCCCTGCTGCCCTGCATGTGTCTGTCCTGCTCTGTTTTATGCTGTATAGTTATGCACAGGAGGGATGTGGCAGCTTTCTGAGTGCATTTTTCTTAAGGAATGTGCTGGTGTTTACGCAGCTCATGGTATTTCCCCACCCTCGCTGTTCCTGTCACTTGGCATTTTCTCAATAGGCTGCTTTTTTTTTTTTTTTTTTAACTGGGGAAGTGTTAGTCTTGACCCCCACATCCCAGACTCCATCCCACTCCCAGCCCCTGCTGCACAGTGATCCGAAAATGAGGCAAGCCCCGGGCTCTGCTGGGCATCTGGTTCGTTGCTGCGGGGAGGCTGGTGTTCTCTCTGGTTCTGTGTTCCCCTGGAGTCTCCAGCAAGAGCAGGCGTTAAACATGCCAAGTGTGTGCATCACTGTGACAAGCCATTTGCTTATTGCCCTGTTCCCTTACCGCTGAATCAGCTGACAAGCTGTAGCCAGGTGGGTCCACAGCGGGTCCTCAATCACCCAGGTTTATTTGAGGCAGACAAAGGAAAGTGGGGTGAAGGACTGTTTGCAGGTATGAGTCTGTAGGTGGCTGCATGGCCCCCACCCCTCTGGCCAGTGTTTCTGTAGGCATATGTGCCTCAGCCCCAGGAGACCTGCCTGATTTACTGGCTTGGGCTCTACCTGCCTTCCCTGGGCACAGCCCTTGGTGGCATTCCACCTGGCCACTCTGCCACCTGTGCACACAGCTGCGGGCATTGGAACCACTCAGTGCCATTAGCTTCTTGAGCAGCCCGAGCCCAGCGCTCCCCTACCCTCCATTGGGCGGGTCCGGCCTCAGGGCTCTGTGGAAAACAACTGGAGTCTGACCTCCCAGTTTCTTGGGGGCTGTAGTTGGGGGGGCACAGGTGAATGGCTGTGAGGTGCCCCAAACAGGTTGTTGCGAGACAGAGTGGCAACAATTGACCTGACCTCTAGGAAGAGTAAGGTGTCAGAGAAATGAGGATGACATTGGAAGTCTGTCCTCTGAGGCTGGCTTGGCTCTGAGGAGAACAAGGTGTGCGATGGCTGAGGAGATGCTCAATCTCCATCTGCCTGTCCCTGCCCAACTGGGCATCCATCTTGGCTTCTCTGAGGAGTTGCTTCTCAGTGTAGGTGTCTGAGCCGGTGACCAGCCATGTTCTCACCACCGATGACCCTTGGGGCAGCCTGGACTTAGGGGCTTCTGTGGGAGAGGGGCCTGTGTCACAGGGCTCCATGAGGCAGGTGGTACAGATAGCAGGCATTTCCCCAGGGTTCCCACACAGAGGTCCCTTCAGCAGAGACTCTGGGGGAAGAGGCAGTGGGCCTCTGAGGTTTCTTCTCTAAAGAAAAAGAAAACACACAAAACGATCTGTGCCCCTGGCCTGGTTTGACTGCAACATGTGGATACAGGGGACAGGGGTGCTCACCCCTCACTTCCCGCACCTAACCCTCATCACATGGACCACTGGTTGCAAACAATTGGCTGTGATTGGCTGAATCCATTGCTTTGGGTCTCAGGTAAGGCAGAACATCATGGTCAAAGGATACAGAGGAAGACTGCTCTATTCATGACAGCCAGGAAGCAGAGAGAGTTCTGCTCACCAGGGACAAAATATAGACCCCAAAGGCACACCCCCCAGTGACCGACTTCCTCCAGCCACTTTTTGCCGTCACCACCCAGTACAGTAGACCTTTAAATTATCAATCCACCTAGTGGATTAATCCAATGATGACCTTATAGATCACATAGTCGCATTGCCTCTGAACATTCCTGCATTCCTTCACACATGAGCTTTCACACTTCACAGCCAGACCATAACAAGCCCTTCTTAGCACCACGGCGTTGCCATCCTGTGTGGTTCCGCCTGCCACCATTGTTCAGGAGTGCATGAGTGGACGTGCTGAGACTATCTGCACAGCCCAGACGTCCATGGTGCTGCTTCCTGGGCAAAGGCAAGCCCCCCCCCCCCCCCCCCCCCCCCCCCCCCCCCCCCCCCCCCCCCCCGCCAGTCGCTGCACCACCTCTGATGTCCTAACTGTGGGGAAGAGAGGATTGCAGGCTGTTGCTGGGACCTCTCACTGTTCTGCCTAGTCCACAGCCCAGTTTCTGTCACTCAGGGCCCATCTGGGAAAGCAGAAACCATACCCGTATTTCAAACATAGGGGCTTATTTCAGATTTGTCACAGAAAAAAAAAAAAACACAGAAAAAAGACCAGACGTGAATCGGGGAACAAGGAACCACCTGGAAATAACAGCAAGAAGTGCCCACACCCTGAGTCCTTCAGGACAGCCAGGAAGCAGAGAGAGTTCTGCTCACTAGGGACAAAATACTGACCCCCAAAGGCACATCTGGGGTCTATATTTTGACAGTCCCCGTCAGAAAGGCTCCCTGTGGAGAGACGGGGAGAAGGAGCTTAACCGCTCCCTTCTCGCCCTCCAGATTTCTGCCTCACGTTAGCTAACCCCAGCCAGAAGCCAGCTTCCCTAGGGTCAGCCCCCAGCAGGGTCAGCCCCCAGCGTGTGGTAGGGCAGAGCAGCTGGAGGGCAGGCCAGGAGCAGGCCTGAGGGCCAGCGGCCTGGGTCTATGCCCTGCCTGCTCGTGTGTGTCCCATCCCGGTGTTCATGCTGCTGTCCTGGACCCTGGTGAAGGAGACAGAGCTGCCCCCTTGGGTCTTTGTGGATTCTTTATCCTCCACCTGGAGGAACAGTGCTTTGGGGAGGGAGGGAGCCTTCATTCTTCGCAGTTGTTCCTGGTTTCCTTTGGGGAGATTTACTCATTTAGCAGCCCACCTCCCCACTCCCCTCAGGAAAGCCATGTCCCAGTTTTCTTTGCGTCCTCCTGTTCCTCTCCGCTGCGTCTCTGGTTCTCCAGGCCAGAGACCCCTAACCCAGGGCATGCTTCCGTGCTCGTAAGTGCTTCCCCAGGATAATTCATTCCAGCGTAATGCCAGTGTGGACCGTCTGTCTAAGGAGATGCCATCTACTAATCAGTTTGTATCGTGTTTCCAATAAATTTCTGGAAATAATGCCTGGCTTTGTGCTCTCTTTGACTGGAACGGTGGCTCAGCTCTGAGGCTCTGGGCTCACACACCCCAGGACTCCATGTCAGGAGGTCCTTGTCTCAGGTAATGAGGCCAGGCTAGTTTGATTGTGTCCCCAGCCACACCAGACTCCCAGGAGCCTTTCTCTACTGAGGGACTGTGTTTTCTCATGTCACATCCTGACCCTGCACCCCCTAGGTCTTGGGGTAGAAAGAACAGCAGGCAAACCTTTCCCTAGTAACCACCCCAAGGAGTCACAGTTGCACTAGTTCTGGGTACCCCTGCCAGGGAGCTTGGAATGGCACATTGAGGGGGCTTCTGTGGCTCAGCACAGGGCTTCCCTGTCCCACTGCCCTCTTTTAGTTTCTCTGTCAAGGTTTCCACAGAGAAAGATGAGGTGAACCCTGTGTGTGACCCTTATTTGCTGGGTTTTATGAGAGATGAAAGACAAAAAGTAGGCACTGAGTTTCTTCCAAGGGTTTCCATGGAGAAGTAGGACGTGTCCAGGTTCTTGGAGAGAGGAAAAGTTGAGATTAAGGCCGTGTTGGTAGTGTGCAGGAGCTCTGGGATGGAGGGGTCACTACCGCTGGATGGTGGTCAGGGGAGATTTTGTGGAAGCAGAGAGAACCCTCAGGGAAGAACACAGAGGCCCCTTCCTAGTGGAATCCCTCAGGTGCTGCGCGGTTCTGGTGCATCTACCCCAACTTGTACTGCCTCCCGCCTGGGAGGTCATCTGTCACTAGTGTTGCGTGCCCTGCCTCTCCAGGAGGGCCACCCCCAATTCCAGGCCAGGGCCGCATTTTAATGCTAAGGCTTCCTGGGGAGCTGCTTCTCCTCTCCTGGATGAGTTGCCCTTGCTCTGAAGTGGTCCTGAGCTGCGGAGGTTCACGCAGAAACCCTGACAACTCCCCTAGAGCTGTGGCTGCTCAACTCTCCAGGCCTCTTTTGGCTTCTTGGTTTTCCAGTGCTGGGGATGGGACCCAGGGTCTAGCACATGCTAGGCAAGTGCTCTACTACTAGGTTACACCCCGGTCCATTTGCATTTTGTTCTGTTTGGTACTGGGGTTTGAACCCAGGGATGCTCTACCCCTGAGCTATACCCAGCCCTTTTTATTTTTTGAGACTGGTCCTTGGTAAGTTGCCCAGGCTGATCTGCAACTTGGGATCCTCCTGCCTGAGCCTCCCAAGTTGCCGGGATTGCAGGTGTGCACCACTGTGCCCTGCTGGCTCCTTGCTTAGTGACCCTTTTACAGATTCTTTGGGATATTGTTTTCTTATTCCCAGAATGAGCTACTTTAGTCCTGTGTCATATCTAAGCCCTCTTCCCACAGAGCCAAGCATCCTAATAATCCTGTCAGCTTTCTTCCCCAAGACTCTGAAATAGTACCATTCTCCTCACCAGAGGAGGTGTCCTGCTACCTCTCATAATCAGACCCTCCTGCTATCCATAGGTTGAATCCACCCACCCACTCTCTAGGGCCTTGCAATAGAGTATCCTGACCCAGACCAGACTGGTACTTACTAGCAGTGTAGCATTGGGCAAGACCCTCAACCTCTCTGGGTCTCAATGTTTTCATCTGTAATATGGGTAATAATAGTGTCTACCTTCTAGGACTAAAGAAATTGGGATGTGTAAGGTGCTTAGAAGAGGGCCTGGCACTCATAGTATGAATTGCTTTATCATCTCATTCTCATCGTTCCTTTCTTCTCCTGCCACTATATTAAATCTCTCCATTCAGTCCAGGAAACAACAGAAATGTCAACCACCAAAACCTCTGTCCTCTACTTAGCTTCACCTCAGCTCCCTTATTGGCAAATTTGTCGAAAGAGGAAGGAGTTGTCTCCATGACGTCAAATCTCATGAATTCCTCAATTCCTTAGAGTGCTCTGTGGCTCCCCTTCTGCCCCTCCTGCAGCCACTCCATCAAGTCACTAATGACCATCTGATTGTCAAGTCCAGTGCTCTTCTTAGAGGGCGACATCTTAGCCATCCTCTCTGAGCCTCTTGAGCACTGGAAGCTAGGGTCGCACATTACTTTCCAGTCTTTGTGCACTAACACCTCTATTCTCAGAGCTACACCAACATTCTGAGATGACACAGATTTTTTTCAGGAAAACAATTTTGGACATAGTAGCAGTCACCTCTGTATCCCTTTCATTGTCTCCCTTCACTTTTTTATCACCCCAGTACTTTTAGTGCATGCATACGACTCCATGACCAACATACAACAGTAGGGAACCCTGGGTGTGCTACAGGGTCTTGCTAATTTGCCCAGACTGGCCTTGAACTTGCAATTCTCCTGCCTCATGCTCCTGAGTAGCTGGGATTGCAGGAGTGTACCATCTAACCCTGCTGCATTTTTTTTTCTTTTTTCTTTTTTTTTTTTTTTTTTTGGTATGGGGGTCTGGGGACTTGTCCCCTAAACAGAACAACCTCAGTCCTTAAATCCCCTTGTCAACCCTCCCCCACCCAGCATTCACTGCAGAAAGGGATTGGCTTTGACCATAGTACAGTTCCTGTCTCCCGTGTCCAGTCCTGTGTGCAGGTGAGACTCCAGGCTCCTGAAAACCCGAGACAACAGGAGGCTATGATTCCAGTTTCCAGGGCCTGACAGCTTCTGCCCTGTGCCTTGTGCTGCCACGATGGACTAGGCCTGCGGTTCCCAGGTATGGTGGCAACCACTCTCCCTCAGATCCTCCAGTTCTCACAGCTGCACTGCGCTCCAGTCTGGGCAAGGCTGAGGGTAGACGGGCTGCAACCACAAAAGGGGCATGGTGGATAGACCAGCCTGAGGTCCGAGTGCAGACAGGCCTGTTCGGGAAGCACCGTCTGATTCCCAAGCTTCCCCAGGCCTCATCTGTACCATTTGGGCACTGCCACCTTGTTGGAGAGCCTTGAGGAGAAAATGAAATAATAGTTTATGTAAAAACTGCCAGGGGATTCCCTGGCACAGAGCTAATGTTAAAAAACAAAAAAAAGTAGAAGGGCTAATTTTCATCATTTCCTATATGGGATCCCCGCCTCATGTACCTGGACTAAGACCCTCTTTCAGCAGCTGTGCCCTGACCCATGTCCTGGGATATTCCCTATTCTCTTCTTGGCTCCTGCAGGAGCAGGAGTAGTATATGTAAAATATATGGGAACAGAGGAAGAGGGAGAGAGATGACCTCAACTGCAGTAGGGGTCACACACAGTGAGGAATGCCCATCCACCAGCTGGAATACCCAGTGACAGACTCTACCATGTCCCTCGTCACCTGGTGCCCTGACACTACAGATGTAACAAGTCACTGGGGAGCACGTAGGGTGGGCCACTCATGATGCCTGTGTGTGTGGAGACCCCCAGGTGCTTGTTCTCCAGGAAGCCTTTATTAAGGTCCTTCTTAGTGGTGGGCAGTGGATCCGTGGGGACAGAGCAATGGGACGGCACACCACGTGTTCAACCACAGGGGCTGATGGCTTTAGAGGGGAAGGGAGGTTACAGGGACCCTAGGAGCCTGGCATCCTGGGCTGGGAATGGCAGGAGGGTGAATGATGGCAATGTCCAGGGCCCAGCAGGGGGCACACTGATGTGCTCAGCTGATGTGCATGGAGAATCTGTGGAGGTTGGGAGAGTTGTTTGGCAGGGATGGCTCTCGGGATAGCACTCAGGCACATGGTGACTGCTTTGGGCCCACAGCAAGACGTCACCCCAGGCACTTCTTGCGGGAAGGGTCCTGAGTCACAGACAGGGCCACAGAGCTTTGCGCTCGCTCCCACACGTACCTGGGAGGGACAGATGGGCCGGGGTCAGGCAAAGCCAGACCCTGAGGATTCCAGGGAAAGGAAGGCAGACCCTCAGTTTGGGATCCCCCCATTTACTCACGAGGTCCCAGCTGGCACCAGCAGGCTGTCATCTGGGGCCAGGCCCAAGTGCTCTTCCCCCAGTGTCACCACTGAGGAGCCTTCCTGTGAAAGAAGAGCAGGAGAATCCAATAGAGGACATCGGGCCTCAACATCTGTCTGAATGTCCCCAAGTCTGCCTTGAAAGGAGACCTGAGAGCAGGGCCCTCCATGGGAGCACGAGCCCAGGAACAGCCTGATCCCCACGGACAGGAGGTTGTGCCACCCTCTCCCGGGGCCCCACTTGCCAGCTGCCACAGCCACAGGTCCACGTCCTGTTCCAGGCCTCTACTCCTGCCTTGCCCATGGACGATTACCTGGCGGGAGGTGAAACAGATTTTTCTGCTGCTTCCTGCCCCACTTGAGAGATGGCCTTGAACCTGACTCCAAGACACCAGACCTAAGTGGTGCAGGGGTGGGGCCTATACTAGCCGCATCCTGTGGGCGGGGCAGAAACCAGGACGTGGAGAAGGCCTCCCTGCAGCCCACGTATTCCTGGGCATCATGCAGGCCTGCCCCCGACAAACACACCCGAGGTTCCTCTCAAGTTGCTCACCTGAACATGCCCCAGGGCACACTAGGGACACACACCTCAGCTTCCTACAGGGTGCCCACCTCCCTTCCTCTGTGGGGTGTTATGAGTCTGGCCGAAGTTTGAAGAGGGATGAGGAGAGCCAGGCTGAGGGCTTTCCACCTGCGTTGGCCTGAAAGCCTGCAGCCTCTGTGCTCAGGCTGTGCTCCTGCAGGACTCAGTGACTATTTGTTGGTGTAAACAAGTGAAAGTGGCAGATGCAGGCCAGCAGGCGGGTGCAGGGCCAGACACCACTGTTGCATGAGCGGGTGGGACGGGATTCGTGGTCCACCTTCTACTCTCATAACTCTCCGGGCAGCTGTAGTACCAAGAAGAAGCAGGCCAGACCTCTAAGGGCAGGCCTGTGCCCAGTGAGCATCCCTTCCTGGGGGCACTAATCCTGCCCAGATGGGATGTGCCAGGGCAAACTGCAACACGAGGGAACCACCAGCCTGCAGGCAGCTCGCCCTGATACCCTCCTGATCAGTCCCCGCAAAGTACAGGGTGATCTTTTTGAAACACTACTCTGGTCTCCTGGTTCCTCTGCTTCAACGCTTGAAGCCCCGTTGCCTCTAGGACAAGTTCTTCCACCTTGCCAGCCCAGCAGACCCGCTGGGACTTGGGCCCTGTGTACTGCTTCACGGTCTACCGCCTGCCCCCCTGCCTCCCCTTCCCCACCCCAGCTCTCAACAAGCTCAGCAGAGGTGCATGGTCAGCAACCAGAGCCAAAAAGGGCTTGTGCTCAGTGCTCCAGCCAAATCTGGAACTTGCTGTCCAGCTTGCAGTCCAGGCTGGTTCAAGCCTTCATGCCTTTGCTTCTGTTTCTCTCTCACCTAGAACATCCTCTCCACCTCCCTTCCAACCTTTGCAAATGCCTTTAAACCAGCTTGAAACTCAACTTGCCTATAACCTCCTCCAGGAAGCCTTTATTGACTTCTCTCCCTATTGGAATTCTTCCTTTACCTCCTCTGGTTCCCTGTAGCTTCTCTATCAAATAATGTATCTCACTATCGTGGCAGTTGTGGATTAACTTGTCTGAGAACTTGGCTAGACCACACACTTTGTGAGGCAGTGACTCCATCCTGCTCTTCTGCCAAAGCCTGAGACAGAATAGGCACTCAATACATGGTGAATGAAAGGTCAGCTGTGTTTGGCTCTTTCTCTGCGCATGTCTACACAACCCTTATCCCAAACAGATCTCCAGCTTCCAGGCTGTGACTGGAATTCCTAGCAGGAGGTAAGCTGCAGATGCTCAGGAAGCTGAAAGCAAAGAGAGATTGCTTGGGAGCATGAAGCCTCCAGCCATAGCCAAGCCCTTGCTCTCTGAGTGAGGGAGGAGGCAGCATTACCTGTGTCTCATAGGTGTCCCCAAACAGGTTGATGGATGTGCCTGCCTGCAGCTCCCTGCGGTGGCCATCCAGCCAAGCCTTCAGGGACACGGGCTCCATGATAGATCGTGTACTCAGAGGGAATGGCGGCTCCTTGAGCAGCTGGTCTGCATCCAAGGTGTGATTATGGTCAGCGTTCTCTGGGCTCAGCCTCCCCAGGCCCAGAGGCACAGATCCAGAGACCCCAGCTCTCAATTGACCAGGCCCTGGATCCAACTCAATTACTAGTAGCCATGAGAGGGTACCATTCAGTGCCATCTCCCTCAGTACCTTGAGTACTGGGCAGAGTACCCAAAAAAAGACACCTAGGATCTAGGGCCAAGACCCATCCTATTGTGGAAAGGGAGTGAGGGGGGAAGATGGTTGCCAGTGGCCTCACCAGGGATGGGCTTTCCTGTTCTGCACTGCTCGGAGCGGAAGAACCTGCAGGGACAACAGGGAGGAGAGAGGAATGGCGGGCATTCCTGCTTGAGTAGCTGGGGAGCCACACACTCCACACACTGTTGGGTGCAGGAGCCCCCACACACTTGTGGGGCCCTCACACAGTTTCCCTCCCAGCTCTGTGGAGCAGTCTCTCCAGGTGGCTCCCTCCAGCCCCAACCACCCGCAGGAGGGGAGACTTTCTCCCTAATTCCCAGGCATGACAGCAGCACAGGAGATGCTGATGTGCAGCCCCAGGACAGCGAGGGGCTGAGGGCTCACTCTTGGATGATGGGGGCCAACTGGGTGCCGAGATCCTTGCAGTAGAACCACTTCTCAAACAGGACATCCACGGTGTCCCCCACGTAGTACCTGCCAAAACAGAGGACAGGCAACCTGGCTCCCCATTTGGGCAGCTCCAGGACATCCATGCTCAGGCCTGCCTCTGCCTGTGGGCTCTGGGCCTGGCCCTACAGAGCTGGGGGCTGCCTGTTTTCCTGGGTCAGCGCAGCCTGTGGGCAGTGCTTATATACCTACCCCTGACCCTTCAGAAGCATCAGTGTGCCCAACCTAGAAAGCAAATAGAACCCCGAGACGCAGGAAAGCTGAGCGACTTACAGTCAGACAGTTGACCTTAAATAAAAGCCAGGGACTTGACATTAAAATGCTACAAAAAAAAAAAAAAAAAAAAAAAAAGCCACTCCAAAGGCCTGAAAGGGCACTGAAGTTCCATTATGAAGCTTTTGGTGGCCAGCCCCATCCCAGGAGCTGGGTGGATGTTGTGTGTATCTGTGAACCATCTCCATGAGCAGGACCACCTAAATCAGGCAGTCTTAAAAGCCTGGAGAGTATCTAATCCAGGTGTGTTTTTCCCAAAAAGGAACCTGAGGCTGAGCCTGAATCCAGGGCTGGCTAGCTGCAGTGCTCAAGGTCAAGGTCCTTAGAAACTACAGTGTCTAGCATACAGAGATGTCCCCCAAATGAGGATTTCTTGTCTTCTCAGGGTCATGGCTATCTTTGAGAACCAGAGCAAAGCTCTGAACCTCTTCTCCAGGGAAGGCGACATGCATGCATACACAGCCTTCAGTGGGTCCCCCACTCCCCTGCCCAGCTCATCTGTGCTAGGGGCTTCTGTCAATTGAATGCCCTAATCCCCAGGCCCAGTTTCCAGGCCAAGCCAGCTCTGCCTGCCCTTCAACTCCCACTGAAAAAAGAGAATCAGTCCTGCTGATGGAGGTGGTCTACAGACACGTGGCATCCACTCACCCGGCACCCTAAAAACCCTCTTGGGATGGAGCTGGGCACTAGAAAGCTTCATAATGGGACTGCAGTGCTCTCCAGGAATTGCCTTCAGAGTGACATTTTAATGTCGAGTCCCTGGCTTTTATTAAAGGTCAGAAGTAGCCAGATGAAATCCGATATTGAATTTGCTGTAAAATGTTATTGAGGACTCTGTCCTCTCCATCACTGAAGACTTCTTCTAAAAAGTCCCTTGGAGAATCTCCTTCTAGAATCTAAGGCCAGGTATCTGTCTGTCCAACATATTATACAGTAGATTATTATGAAGCTATTAATATTGTATTTTTTGAAAAGATTTAGTAGTCCGATAAATACTCATGAGTTTTTTTAAGTACAAAAACCAAAATTCAAACCCACTCAGGCAAGAAGACTGAAATGTTGTCAGGTACAGATATGCACAGAAAAAAGGTGGAAATCTAAGTGCTTCTAGGTTTAATTGGGGATGACAAACACTCCCCCCCTCCCTTTTGCTTTTGTCTGTTTTGTTTTCTTGAGAAATAATTCATATACCATAACCTTAATCCTTTTCCTGAGACGTAATTTTATTTTTCATTTTTCATTCCTGCACTTTTCCAGATTTTGAGTGAATGTGTATGACTTAGGTAATTTGAAGGAAAAAAAAAAGGAAGTATTAAAAAAAAAAAGTACCCATTAAAAGAGTCAGGCTTGGTGGCACACACCTGCACTCTCAGCTACTCAGTCTGAGGTCAGCCAGGGCAACTTAGTGAAGCCCTGTCTCAAAATGAAAAAAATAAAAAGGCTGGGAGTGTATCTCAGTAGTGGAGTGCTCCTGGGTTCAATATCCAGTACAAAAAAAAAAAAAAGGCCCATTTTAGCAATTATAGTAGAAGATGGGCCAAAATATCCTGACCCCAATAACTTGATGAGAAAATTAGATTTTCTTAGTGAAAGGGCTGGGGTGTAGCTCAGTGGTAGAGCATGTACTTAGCATGTGTGAGACCTTAGGTTCCATCTCCAGCACAAGGGGACAAACATTAATTTTAAAAAGTTTAACTTTCGGAAAAATCTTTGGTCCTCTTTGCTTCAGAGGCTTCCTCTTTTCAGAGAATAACAATTGGGCAACTGATTAGACCAAATGTGAATCACAGCTGTATAATCAGAGTACACAGCTGGGCCTGCGTTCTTTCCTTGGTGTTGATCTTGGCTTTCCTAGGGTCTRGAAGGTTAAGCTCTAGCAAGTTTCCCTTCCCTGTGCCCAGTATGAAAGATAACAGTACCTACTCCCTAGAGTCATCTGGGGGACATTCAATGAATAAATACATACAAAGCTCCATCCGGGTGCCTGGCACACAGCCAGGTGCTACCCAGCTATCTGTGCCTATTGTGGATTGGGCTGGCCCAGACTAGACCCTGGGAGCTGAGGTTGTGAGACGCAGCAGTGCTTGGGCTGCCCTGGGTAGAGGGTCCTCTTGGCTGTCCCCCACCTCCCTTTCTGCAGCGCCCCTCCCCGCCCCAGCTGACTCATGTAGGAAAACAGGTTCTGCCTCCAGCCAGAGGATCATCAGTCTGAATGGGCTCCTGGGTATGGGGCAGGGGGTGAGGGGCAGAGACAGCATCTCCCACACCCATCATTAAACATCCTCACCCTCCCAGTTAGCCAGCAAATAAAGAACTCCATTGCATCTGGCAGCCAACCCCTCCACCCTCTTGGTGACCAGGAAGTGCTTTCTTGAGTCAACCTGGGATTCCTTCTGCTGCAGTATTGAGCTGCACCCCTCTGCTACTAGCCTGCCGTTTGCCCCAGGCCCCAACAGGGGCATTTACCTGAGCCCATCTAGCTCGGTTTCCAGCCGTCTCCGCTCAATCACCAGCCCCATGGTGTTGGCAAACCTCTGCGGGGAGTGGGGCACCCCAGCAGGCAGGAGGAATATCTGTAGTGGTGGAGACCAGGTGCCCAGCAAGGCTGCCATCCCTCACGGAGACATCAGCTCCTGCAGCTTCCCAGGCATCCCAGCTCACCCGCAGGGCACAGGGGACATTGCCATCCATGCTAGGCCCTGCTCTCTGCCAGGCCTGCCCAGGGAACCAAGCGGGGAATGTCCGGCTGTGCTAGCACTTGGTGGCCAAGAGGAGGGAGTGTCCAGGGACCAGGCAGGGGCAGGAAAGTGTGAGGAGGACAGAGCCTCAGCCAAGGCTAGGGCGAGTGGCCAGGGCGGGCTCCTGTTCTGGCGCCCTTTACCACCCCATCTGCTGGGGTCCAGCCTCACCTCTCCCTGCCGAATGACCACATCCCGGTGCTTCCCTCGCTCCAGGACTCGGAGAACCATGTCTCCTTCCAGCTGATAAAACACCTGTGGAACAGCAAAGAGTCTGGGACTCCCTGCTCCCTCCTCCAGATCCTTGGTCACTGCCCAGGCCCTGAGTTCTGACTAGGAAACCTGAGAAACTTCCCAAAGGACTGAGGTTTATCAGCAACTCCATCACTTCTGTTGTGAGACTCCCATCTTCCCTGACTCAGGCCATTGGCAGCAGCAGGGGACACACATCTTACATCTCTAACGCACAAGTGATGACCAAAATAACTCAGGATGCAACAGCAGGTGTCTGGCTGGGGGCAGGAGGCTGGGCAAGAGCCTCCTTGGAGACAGCCAGGTAAGAAGAACCACCCTTTCACAGGGGCCAGGGGTTGTGCCAAGCTCTTTCATGTACATTATCAGAAATCTTTACAACTTCCAAGGGCATTGTTAGACTGTTCTGCAAAGGGGGAAAAAAGAAAGGAAGGAAAAAGAAAACTGAGGCCCAGAGCACAAAGCAACTTGCCCAAGGGCACACAGCTAGATAGTCCTGAAGCTGCCCTTGGGACTGGAGCCTGTGCACGGTGCTAGGCCTAGGCTGGTCTTTCCGGCCAGTGTGATGCTCAGGCACTGGGGGCTGTGGAGGTCAGCAGCCTAGGGTGGGGACTGTGCTCTTTCTGGGGGGCTCCTACCACATTTCCTTACTCTATCCTAAGACCCAATTAACATGCTTACTGAGATGGAAGTGTGGAGGAGGAGGAGGAGGAAGAAGAGGAGGAGGAGGAGGATTCAATCCCTCTCTACAGTTTATACATTGCTTGCACAGGTGTTAAAAGCCCCAGCCAAATAGTTGAAGGACTTTTAAATAATAATAATAATAATAATTAATAATAATAGTGGTAATTATCATGTAAGGAATTAATGGAGATAAAGGCTGTAGTCACAACATCTACTAAGAGAAACCCAGCTGAACACATAAGAAATGAAGAAGCTAGAGAAATGTGGCCCCTAAGCCTGCTGCAGGGTACATGTGGACACAAGGCCACCATGAAGAGCACCATGGCATAGGGCATGAAGAATCTTCACAGTCCACACTGGTATAGAACCTTCCATGCTAATACTGGACATGTCCTCGGTCACACAGGCCACCTATATCTTTGCCCTGGAAATAGCATCTTAGAAATGTGGCCTCAGTAATTGACGGCCCTTAGTTTGCTAGGCCTCTGTGTGCCCTCAGTCAGTTCAGTTAACCTCTCTGTGCCTCGGTTTCCTCTTCTACAGCTTGGGTAGTGTCTGCGCAGAAGGCCGCTGTGAAGCCTGCCTGGAAGCAGTATACTCAGCACAGGGTGAGCACTCGATAAACCTTTAACTGTTAACATCAGCAGTTGTAGGAATTGCAATAACAATGCCAATAATAATAGGAGAAACATAAACATTTGATGATATATTCAAAATATGGAACGCTATGCAACCATTAAAAATAGGCTTTTGAATAACAATAAAAATGGCAAAATGTGCTGGGCATGATGGTGCATGCCTGTAATCCCAGCAACTCTAGAAGATGAGGCAGGAGGATTATAAGTGAAAGGCCAGCCTCAGTGACTTAGAAAGACCCTGTCTCAAAAAAAAAAAAAAAAAAAAAAGTACTGGGTGTGTAGCTCAGTGGTAAAACATCTTGGGTTCAATCCATAGTACAATTAAAAAAAAGGGGGGGCAAATGTTAAATTTATATATTTTTTACACTGTTGAGGATTGAACCCCCCAGAAAACATATTTATTATGTCTTCTACAATAAACAATATTATGTTCATTATTTAAAACAACCCATACACATGTAATACCAGAAATTCAGGAGACTGAGGCAGGAGGATCATAAGTTGAAGGCCAGTCTGGGCAATTTAGAGAGGCCCTCAGTAATTTAATAAGGGCCTGTCTCCAAATAAAAAAAATAAAGGGCTCACCCACAGGGAACAGGGGACATTGCCATCCATGCTAGGCCTCCGTGATTAAGTGCCCTTGGGTTCAATTCCTGATACAAACAAACAAACAATAAATAAATAAACATTTAAAAAGGGGTGCTAGAGATGTAGCTCTGTGGCAGAGCTCCCTTGGGTTTAATCCCCAGTTCTGCAAAATAAATAAATAAACAAACAAACAAATAAATAAATAAGAACAAATAAATAAAACACCTATAAACATTACTGAATACAAATGAGACAAAAACGACTTCTCGGGAGCAATTCAGCACGTCCCATCCCCTCCCCAAGCTGAGAGCAAACCCATGTATGCATGTGTCTCAGGAAGGGAGGAGGGACCCTGGAGTTCTGAGGAGAGGGCCTAGTCTTCAGGTTCCCAAAACACCTGGAAAGGTGGGAGGGGAGTCTGGGGTGATGTCTGGGTCAGATCCAAACCCTTTCCCGGCAGGCTGCAGGGCATTAGCCACCACTGAACAAAACAAGAAGGCCGTGGGGTTCTCCTCAGTCCTGTCCTCTACCCAGGGGCCTGTCCTGTGATGGGGGCAGGTCTGGCCGGGAGCAGCAAGCCAATCACTGACAGCAAGAAAATCTCAAATGGCTGTAGGCAGTCCCAAAGGAATTCTGCTGATTTGGAAGAAAATGATGTTAGGGAGGAGGGGACATGAAGTTAGCAGGAAGAGTGAGCCCCCTGCCGGCTCAGGAGACTTAGAGCCTGGGCTTCATGGCCTGGAAAGGCCTTACAAGGTGGCAGGACGGTGAGCAGGCCAAGTGAGGACCCAGCCTGTTAAGCTGGTGAATCCTTTCACCTTTGTCCCACATGCTGCACCGGAAGCCTCAGAGGGCGTGCGATGCACTTGTTCAAGATCACACAGTTATAAGAGGTTCTTCCTCCTCCTCCTCGCGCTTGCCTGCCCTAAGGAAAGGAGTGGGGAAGTGGAGCAGGAGTGCGGGGAGGTACTGGGGAGTTTGGGCTGCTGAAGGCAGCCACCTGGAGCACTGCGGAGGTCAGCACTCAGCCAGGAGGGAAATCTGGCTCAGTCAGTAAGAGATGTGATTTGAACCCAGGCCTGAGTGATTCTTCCAGCTCTAGCTGAGTAAGGACAGGCAGGGATAGAGAAGACACGGCTGCTCAGTCCCGAGGCCACCAGCAGCCTGTGGCAGATGCTGTACCCTGCCCTCCTACCAAAGTGTGTGTGTGGGGGGGCATGTCATCACAAACCCATCTCTAGTCAGACTCCTCCCTGACACCTGAATGTCCCTCCAGAGTAAGGACACATGTGCACAGGCCGGCACTGCTCATCTCTCAGCACCAGCTGGGTCAGGGCATGGCTGACCCAGGTCCTCAGTGGACACCCATGTGCTGCTTGGAGAAACCATGAGATGGGTCTGGGGCATAGGTGGCAGAGGATAAAAAGGGAAGGAGGGAGACAGACCAGCAGACACAAGGGGTGGGTGCTGGGATCAGAGCTAACAGGTGAGTGGAAGCTGCTGTCCTTACCCATGAGTCTGCTTCAGGCAGGCAGGACACCAGCCTTGCCTCCCCGACCGTGGCCACTCCTGATCTAGCCCCTCCCCCTCTCTGTAGGTTTGAATTTTCCTGTTGATTTTTTCCAAAGAGGAAAAGGGTCTCCGGGGAGGTGTGTCTGTGAGAAGGGTGGGCCCAGAGAGGACAAGACCCTTGGAAATGTGAGGGATGGGCTGATTCTGCTCCACCCCTGTGTACACAAAATGCTCACTGAATGTTTGCTGACTGAGCAATGCTCCAGGGCTCCCTGGAGTCCTGGACTGTAGGAAGACAGGAGCAGTGGGGTGGAGGGCTGTGACCAAACTAGACTTTGCATCTCAGACCCTAGAATCAGGCTTGCCTCCAGATTGCTGGAGGGATCCTTTCCTACTGGAGTCTCTGGTGGTTAGGATCCTGTCCGCGTCTCTCTCTCTCCTTATGAGGGCTTTCCCCCTCTGTTAATTTTACTTTTGTTTATGGACTCTGGGATAGGCAGCAGAGAAACAGTTCAAAAATCAAGGTACAAAGGGTACTCAGTGCAACCCCTGCCCCGGTCACATAGCTCCTAACAACTGATGTGTCTTGCACTTTCTAAGTAAGGAGGGGCCACCCAGTCCCACCCATTCCTCAGCCCCAGCTCCCCAGCCTTGCCCTTCTTCCTTCAGTCCCCTCCCCATCTCCCCACCACCATCCACCACCCACCCCCAGCCCACTCCCACTTCGTATAGCTGGATTTCCCCCCCTTGCTCTAGGAGAGGGAGAACCTGGCTCCAGGGATAGAAAGGGAGAACTAGGTTCCCTCCTGTGCTTGGGTCTCATTTTAGAGGCCAACTGTATGTACTCAGGTTTGGGGCAGGGGACCAGGCATCCCACCTGGAGCATGGACAGCTAGTGTGTCAGGGACCGGATGCCCACAGTGAGAGCCTATCCTACCCACAGGGCTGGGCTACTTCCTAGGGCTCTTCCTGCTGAGTCCCCCCTGGCTCCACCTCAAGGAGAGGGCTGCCCAAGGTGGCAACTTTGAGGCGGCAGGTTTCCCCTGTGATTTCAGGGTGTCCCTTAACAGTCATGCCTCCCCTCCTCAGTCTGCAGCTCTGGCCCTGATGCAGGAAGTACCTGCTTCCCCAGGGGCTGATGTTCCTTGCCTGGCCCAGGAAGGGGCAGTCATAACCTACCTCCTCGCCCTCCTCGATGTGATAGTCCTTCCTGATGTTGGGGCCCCCGACGAACATGATTTTGAGCTGCTCCTGGTGCCTGCAAAGGAGTGGTAGGGGGCGGTCATGGGCCAGGTCCTGGGAGGGAGGGGGCTGTGGTAGGGGGAAGGGGGCCTGGAACACTTAGGAAAAGGAACAGATCCTTGTTCCCACTCTCATCCTCAGCCTGTGTCCATGTGCATCTAAGTGCCTGTGTGTCTGTGATTGAGTATGTCCCTCTGTGACACACACAGAGGGGCAGCATAGCAGTGGCTCTGTCGCTTCATCACCTAGCCTCCCCGGGCAGTGCTCAGGATCTCTGATCACAAGAAAGCACACTAGAGCCCATGTCTGACTGTGGGACCCTCCGTTTCCCAATGGCTAGAGGCCTGACTCAGGAGACTGCGACATTTAGGAGCTCAGACAGCACTGAGTCAGAGTGACATGCGTTTAAAAACAGGAGCTGGAGCCAGCCTCTGGGCATCCAATGTGGCTCTACATGCACCCTTGGGCAATGCTACCTAACCTGTCTGGGCCTCAGATTTGTCATCTGTAAAATGGAGAGCTAGCTCTTGCATCAAGTTTCAATGGATTACACGAATTCATTTTTAGAAGTTCTCAGAACACAGTGCCTGTCATATAATAAGCACTATTTAAAGTGTTTGATAAAATAAGCTTAATGTGACCCTCTCATTTGACGGCTGACTGTTCAAACTTGCTAAAGCTCAGAGAGGGTCATGCAGCCAGGGAATGACAGAACCTGAGTTCGGACCTGGGCTCCCTGACTCCCAGGCTGGTGCCCTGACCCTGGTGTACATTGTCAGCGGTTTGAAACTTGAAAGGATGCCCACGCTCCTCAGCCTGTCCACTATTGGTATGGTGTCACCTTTTATGGAACCTCTGTACCTCCTGACAGCAACACACCCATCTTCCATTCTAGGGTCTACTCTGCAGAGATTAAAATAAGCAGTGGTCTGTGCATGGGCAGGGGCCCGGGGCCTTAAGTAGCCAAGTGACAGAGGGCAGGGGCAAGGGCTTTCCTTGGGAATGAGGAGGTGCGGAATCCAGGTGCAGGGACCATTTTTGCTACTTCAGATCTCTGCAGTAGAGGCTGACTATAGCCACGATGAGGTTTGATGGCAGTGGAGGGGTTGGGGGTGTGTGAACCCCCAATCCTAGACTGGAAGTCCTTGACTAGTGTCTTCTCCTGCGGATTGTTTTCCAGCTCACGGTGGGAGGGGGACCTCCTTTATGGGAGGCAGGTATTAATAACCAAGAACATATACCCATCATGCCCCAAATGAAAAGATGGATGAGGTTACTGGGCAGGAGGAGGCTGGCAYGGGGTAGTTCTGAGCTTAAAGAACTTAAAGCTGCTTGGAGGAGAGGAGAGAAGCACTGAGGTACCTAGAGAAGGGAGCAGTCAGCTGAGTACAGAGGCCCAAGAAAGGGAGCGCTGGGGGTCTTGGTGGGTGTAGGTGGTCTTGGGGAGTGATTTGAGAAAGCTGGATCAGGAGGGGGTCTAGTTAAGGCGTTTGGTGTTGGCTTGAGGATGCCAGGGAGCCTCAGAAAGTATTTTTTTTTTAAATCAACTTTATTGAGATATAATTTAGGTACACACTGAAAGTTCTTGAACAAATCCATTCCGGAACTGTTTCAACCCATTGATCAGAATGCAGATTACATCCCTCCAGAAGCTTCTTGCCTTGCTGAGGGTGTTATAGGTTGAACTTGTCCCCCCTAAATTCATATGTTGAAGTCCTAACCTCCCAGGACCTAAGAATATGACCCTATTTAGAAATAAGGGCATTGCAGATGTTATAAGTTAAGATGAGGTTATACTGGAGTAGGGTGGGTTAGAGTTGTTTTGCAAACAGGAAATATGGACGTGGACACATGGGGAGAGTGCCTGTGAAGATGAAGGCAGAGATTGGGGTGATGCAGCATGAGCCAAGGGAGACCAGCAATGCTAGGAAAGCCCCAGAAGCTAGTGGGGAGGTGTGGCATAGACTCAATGACAGCCCTAGCAAACTAAAACAGGGGGAAGGCACAGTCCTCACTCTGACCCTTCGCTGCCAGTCTGCCTGCCTTTGCCTCCCCTTCTGCCATCTGAATGTCAGCTCTACAAGGAAGGCACTTTTGTCAATGTGTTTCCTTCTGTATCCCCAGAGTCTAGGCCAGCCTGGCAGGTAGTAAGTGCTCAGTGAACATCTGCTGAGTGAATAAAGAGAGGGAACGTGTTTGTGATGATGGTTAACACCAGGGCAGCACTGGAGGATTGGGGGAGGCCTTAGAGGCACAGCAGCCAGTACTGCCCAGGCTGGAGGTGGCCAGGGAGAAACCAGAATAGTGTCTGGGCTGTAGTAGAGCAGATGGGTGTGAGATACTTTTTGGGAGAAAAACTGGGGGACTGAGAATGAGAGACTGTGAATAGGGAGGAGTGGAGGAAAGGGACAGAGACGATAAAGATGTAGGTTGAGAGGATAATAGTGGCAGAAAAGAAGAGTTTTGGGGGAAATGCTAACTGTTAGCCATGGTGGTATTGCACACTGACCAAGAGAATATGTGCACTTTGGAGTCTGGGCTTGAGTCTGGACTCTGTCCAGCACTAGCTCTATGACATTGGGAAAGTTCTGTGAAATTCCACCTCATGGACTGTGAGAACTAAATGAGATGATGCCAGAATGCTTGGCATGGTCTCTGGCCTGTCACAACATCAGTGATTGTTGCCCTGTGGGTTGAAGTATCGTGCCAGAGGAGTTGTCTTGCAGGAACAGCAAATATGGGGAATGTGAGCCTGGTCTGGGGGTCCCAGGAGGCCCAGCAATGGAACTGAAGGAAGGGGAGGGGGTGATCACAGGGAGGGCCTGAGAGATCTGTGAAAGAAAGATGGCAGTGACCAGTTCAGCCCTGTTGGGTGCTGCAGGCAGAGGTGGCCTTGGGAGGGCCGTGTGTGTGTGTGTGTGTGTGTGTGTGTGTGTGTGTGTGTGTACCTGCAAAGAGGGGCTCTGGAAAGAACAATAAATCAAGATCTCTCCAAAGGGGCTGATCCTCTGACCTCCCCCTTTGCCTGTAGGTTAGCCTGTGTGAGTCACGTGTCCTTAGACCTAGGTTCTATTCTCATTCTGGGGCACTGAAAACCATTCTCCCCAAATTTCAAAGTTTCCCAAAGTCCACTGGAGTCCTTGGGGGAACTTGAGAGAATCCCTGGGGGCTGGAGAGCTCTTTGCCAGTCCTGGAAGGAGGAGCACCTTGTCATCTCATCTCCTACTGCCTCAGAAGCACCCTGGCCCTAGGCAGAAGTCAAAGTCACAGCCCTTACTATGCAGTTACCAGAAAGAGGAACAGACAGAGGTAGTGGAACCCGGAACAGCAGGTTCTCACCCTCCCAGAAGGAGCCAAGAGAATGACAGCCCCCTTATGCAGGCTTCTGGGTCAAGGAACTGGACCTGGAAGGTGGTGCGGGTCGCGGGGTGGGCTGGTTAGATGGAGGAGATGGCGAGGACAGAGGGGGGGAAGGGACCCAGAGGCCAGGCAACTGGACCTGGAAGGTGGTGCGGGTCGCGGGGTGGGCTGGTTAGATGGAGGAGATGGCGAGGACAGAGGGGGCGGATACAGGAGCTCAGACTCACATGAGCTTGTTGCAGACTGGGGGCTGGAAGGAGGCCCTGTTGTCCTCCACCCAAGTCTTCACTCTTACGCGGCGCTCCATGGCCACCGGGTCTGATCGCCTCCTCCCTGAGTGTCCTCTGGCCGGTGGGGCCGTCGGAGGGACGCGGCTCTCCCGGGCTCGTGGGTTGGCCGCCTAGTTAGTCAACATCCCCGAGGTCAAAGGGCGGAGCAACCCCCTACCCTCCCCCCCCCCCCGCTGCGGCGGGCGGACTTGGGTGTGAGCCCGCCTGCCCTGCGCACCGCCCCGTGCGCTTGCCCTTAGGTCTAGGTGCACCGGGTGGGGGAAGAAAGAGGGCGACCCTGCTTCTAGGCAGAACAGGGATCAGTCCCCGGACCCGAACCTCCCGACCAACCCAGAGTCCTGGGGGCTCCTGGCAAACCCGCGCCAGAAATGGGAGCCTACTGCCCGCCTAAGACGCAGGATCCAGACTCTTCCTGGCATTTGTCCCTAGATTTCCGTCTAGTTCCTAGGAAGGCTCCAAGGATACTGTAGGGGGCGAGTTCGAAAATCCGAGAGTCAGCACGTGGTGTTGATGCTGGATTTAAGACTCAGTTTTCTTATCTGGAAAATGGCAATGACTGCACAGCCACTGGAGCTGAGGTGCGCATAGAACCAAAAGATGCCCCGATTAACGCCAGTACCCTGTGTCCTCACGAGGACAGAGCTTGGCTGCGGCCCCCAGATGTTCTATTACATAGGAAAAGGCTGGCTCGACTGTGCCCTAGGCTCTGCAAGGCAAACGGGGGGGCAGACGCAAAGCGTCAGGAGCCCGGGTGGAGAGCAAGCGCCTCGAGGCCATGGTCCTCTCCCTGCATCGCGGGAGACACATCCCGAGAGGGGACACTGTCCTCAGCGCCAGCATCGTAGTGGGCACAGGCCAGGTGCCCTCCGTTGTTTTGAGCTCTTTGCATATCTTAAGTCACAGGGTCCTGGGTGTCCTAGCCTTTCGATATCTCGGTACGGAAGTGGGGTGGGCAGCCAAGTCTGTGCCAACGATGACAGCGCCTGCCAGAGCCTCTGCCACGGTGGTCCTGGGACGGGAGACCTAGGCCTGGGTGTGGGGGTATGAAGTAGAGGACGATGGCGAGGGGGCGGAGGAGGGGGAAGGCAAATGCTACTACCTGCCTTCCTCTGTTTTCAGGACTCAGAATGCTCAGGAAAATCGGAGGAGGGTGGATCGGGGGAAATGATAGGTGGGTGACATGGAAAATGGCTCAGGCCTCTGACACCAAGAATGCAGATTGCAGAGTTGAAGTAATTTTAACTCCTCCAGCTCCAGCTCTCACACCCACCTTGGCCACTCCCTCCGCCTTCCCCAGGTGCCTGGCGTGGCCAGTTTTTCTCAGCATTTCAGATGTAAAGTCAAATCCCAGATCCTTGTGAAGCAGGATTCCCACTCACCTGGCTGTGACTCTCCAATTCCCTCTCCACTCCCTCTCCTCCTTTTCCCCTCCTTCTCCTTTTTATTTATTTAGCACATTTTAACTGAGCATTTCTTTCTAGACTATAGTGTGGTACTCAAATAACTCAAACCACCTTCTTTATTTTTCTCATCTACAGGTAATCAGAGACAATGCAAACAATGACAAAAGAAACGCCAAGGATCTATGATGTGTTGGGTTTGCTTTGGATGTGTGTTTGTTAAATGGAAGGATGAGTGGGTGGGTAGATGAAGGCCTGAATGAATTTACATTAGGAGAAAAAAAAAACTGCTTTCAGTCCAATGATGTACTGTTACATAGTACAAAGGAAAGAAAAAAAGAATGATAGTTACCCTGTATTTTAGTTGACGTAGTCAAATAATGTGAATAATTGAGGCCCTCAGTAGAATTTTTAGGATATGTATTAGCTACATAAATCTTATACATAGGCTCACCTCCTGCTGCATTATCACTGTCAGTTGTGCCCTCTGGTTTGTGGTGCATAGATAAACACCATGTTTAGTGTACTGAATTGACAAACCTCTGAGCTTGGGTGTTGGTCTCCTTTTGACTTCAGTGTCAGAAAATGGACAGCTCTTCTTTAATCCAGATGTTCTAGCATTGTTCAGTTTGGAGTTCTTCTGGATATCTACCCTTGTGGACCTTACCTGCTCCTAGGAGCCAGCTTTCTCCTCTGCACAAAGAAGCTCACTTGTACCTGAGATCAGAAACAAAGAGCATCTACCCTGGAGCTCATCAGAGCTATTCTGCTTACTCTGCTCTTGCTCTGTGTCCCCTGGATGGAGTGCCTGAGAGGTGGCTGAGACCATGTTTAGCAAAGATGTTTCTAGGCTTTACTGAACATGGCTGGTGATAACTGTCTGATCCTTCAGTCCTTTCATAGGCTGAACTACTTGCTCCAGCTGATCCATTTCCCAGACTACCTTGGTCCGTCTTTGTCTCCATTTTCCCTCCCTTTCATGTGAGTCAGCAATGTTAAAGTACAAACAACTTTATATGAATAAAAGGACAAGATCATGAACCATATGGGTGAACAAACCAAACTCAGTTTCTTCTACTCTGCTCTCACAATGCAGATCACTTTTGTGAACCCAAAATGTGTAGGGATTTTTTTTCCCACCAGCATGTAAGCAATCTATTGTGCAGTGGACACCTGATTCAGTCTGATCCCATCTACTGGGAGATGATGTCTGATTTCACAGGATGAGGGTTCAGTACCACAAGATTACCTCCACTTCAGACACAAGTCTGTCTCTTTTGTGATACTGGGGACTGAACCCAGGACCTCACACATGTTAGGTAAGTGGTCTGCACTCAGCAACACCCCCTACCCTCTTTATTTTTTAATTTTAATTGATTAATTAATGAATTTGGTACTGGGGATTGAACCCAATCCAGGGTGCTTTTCCAGTGAGCTACATCTCCATCCCTTTTTAATTTTTTATTTTGAGACAGGGTGTTGTTAAGTTGCTGAGGCTGGCCTCAAACTTGTGATCCTTCTGCCTAAACCACCCATGTAGCTGGGATTACAGCCATGCACCACTGGGCCTGGCCATAAAGGTTAATTTAAAGGATACAATAAGCAGTCAGATGAAGAGATACACAGGGCAAGGTCTGGAAGGGTCCTGAGTGCAGAAACTTCTGTCTCCACGGAGTGGAGAGCACCACTCTCCTGGCTCATCAGTGAGTTCTTGCTCATCTTCCTGAAAGTTCCCAAGTGTTCTGCTTTTCAGAAGTTCTCTGAACCCTGTCCTTTGGGTTTTGTGGAGAGCTCAAGGCATAGGCATAATTGAAGCATGCAAAGCCATATAAAAATAATGTCAGACAAAAACGGTTTGATCTAATGTCTTAGAAAGAACACGCCAGAAAGTCTGTTTGTTCAGATTCTTCTTGGCCTTTCTGTGCAGCATCCCTTCCTGGTATCTGGAGCAGGAGTCCTTCTGGATATTTTATATATATTCAGAAGTGATATATGTGTATATATGTATATATATATATACATATATATATGTATATATATATATATATATATATATATACATACACACACACATATACAATATCATGTCATATCAGAACTGGTTATTTGAAAATCTAGGTTCTGGTTTTGCTGTCTCTTTACCTTGAGTTAGTAACAAGTCTGTCTGAAAACTTCTAGACATACTTTTTTTTTTTTTTTTTGGCTTGGCTATCATTGTGAAATCTCTGCTTAGAATATAATACTAAATATTTCCATTAGATCAAGCTATTGTATTAAAAAAAAACAAGGATCAAGACTATTTGAGTAACTGCTTAATATTTTTATTTCTGAAAGTTATAAATATATTGTTATAAATATAAGTGTTCAAGTGCCCCACTATAATCCCTAGTCAATTTCTCCTTACACATTAACAGGCTTTGCTTGATATTTTTTGAATCTATGTTGTTAGATGAAAAAGGGCTCATGACTAGTTTATCTTCTGGTTGTAGCCTGCCTTCCTTTCTTCCTTCCTTCCTTCCTTTGTGGAACTGGGCGCTAGGAAATTAAATTCGCTTTCTGTGACAGCCTTGTCTTTGAGTCCTAGGTCAATAGAAAATTAGAGCAAGATAAAGCAGCACTTGCAAAAATGAAAGTAGGACAGTGAGACCCCAGAAAGTAGAGAGCTCAAAAACCACATCCTGGCTGAGCTGTGGCAAGCGTTCTGCCGAAAGCATCCCTAGAGTCTGCAGAACATCCTGCTCCTCACAACACCCACTGACCCCTCCCGATCCGTATAAACCCATAAAAACCCTTTCCCCTGAGAACTCCGGACTCACACGTCTCTTGGAGTCTGGCCTCTCTCTTCTCTTGAAGAGTGAATAAAATATTTTACTGCTAATTGCTCTCTGCCTGCAAATCTCTGAACCGTGCAAGCACCATCTCTACTCCAGGCACCATAACACTGGGGATTGCAGGGCTTCACATGTTAGGCAAGGACTGAGCCACATCCCCAGCCCTTTTTATTTTATTTTGAACACAGTCTCACTAAGTTGCCTAGGCCTAGAACTTTCAGTCTCTAGCCTCCAGAGTAGCTGGGATTACAGATGTGTGCCACCACCCCAGCTTTGTAATGTTTCTTTTATTACTAAGAAATATTTCCTCTTAGTTTCTTTTCACCTTGACCTCAACTGTGGAAGATATTTATATTGCTACGCCTGTTTTCTGTGTTAGTATTTTCCATTTCCCCTTCTGCTGAATCGTGGCTGCCTTGGTGACATGCGGTAGAGCTGATACTGTGTCACAGTATCAGCTGGTCCTCAGAGGTCTTAGAACTCAGAGCTCATCACCTGGTGTGCTGCTGCCCCCATGTGCAGAAGCCAGGGCTAGCCTCTGGGAGGACATGGAGAGAAGGCGGCTGAGAGCAAGTGCCAGCTGTATAAGGCCATCTTAGATGAGTGCAGCCATGAGCGAACTCAGCCCTGGTAGGCCTGCCCAGCGGAATGCAGGTAAATTACTGACCTGCGGATCATGAGCAGATGAAATCGTTGTTATTGTAAGTCTTTAAATTGGGGGTTGGTGGTTTGGCACTGTAATAGTTAACTGAAACAACAGGTATCTGTTTCCCTGTAACCTTTTTGTTTTTAGATATACTTCTCATGAATGGCACATTGCTGGAGTGTTTAAAAAATCCAGTCTGGTAGGATGTGTTATTT